AGATGCTTTGGGAAATTGCTTGCTTCAAAAAACAGACTAAAAGTTAATTAAATCGGTTGCCCAAACAACAGCCTCGACAATGTCTAATGCCTCACACACGTCGTTTCTTTGGATCCTCGCTGATGGGACAGGGCTGGATCCTGCCAGGCTGGGCCAGGTTCTAAGTGACACCAGTTCCCACTGAAGATAAAGGAAGTTGATGGACGTAGCCCATTGCAGAATCAGCCTAATAGTGATGAAAACACGTTGTGCTTCCAAGTACCTTTCATCCAAAGATCTCATACAGCTTTCTAAACATTAATGAAACAAGCTTCACCTTTTAAGATAGGGACGATGACCTACATTAATAGTTTCCAAGATCAGAATGGACCATTGTGATCATCTAGTCTGACTTCCTGCCTAACTCATGCCACGGCAGTTCCCCAAAATAATTCCTAGACCAGAGCTTTTAGAAAAACATCTAATCTTGATTTAAAAATTGCCACTGATGGAAAATCCACAACTCTTGGTAAATTTTTCCAATGCTTAATTGCCCTCACTATTGAAATGTTAAACCATATTTCTTAAGTTTGTCTAGCTTTAGCTTCCAACCATTGGATGATGTTACATCTTTGTCTGCTAGACTGAAGAGCCCACTGCCAAATATTTGTTCCTCATGTAGGTACTTATAGGGCTTGTCTATATGGTGCCATTGTCTGCAATAGAGGGGCACTAGATTGTGTGCTGACCCATGTGGACCCTGCTGGCATGCACTAAAAGTTCCCTAGTGCACATTAATATGGTCCTGTTTCAAACTGTACTACGTTAACATGCATTAGGGAACTTTTAGTGCATGCCAGCCGAGTCCACATCACCAGTTAGTGCGCAACACGCTGGTGTGCTTTAGAATCTACTCCCCTGTAGTACGGACTAAGGTACCATGTAGGCAAGCCCATAAACTGTGATCAAGTCATCCCTTAGACTCAAGAAGCTCAATTTATTGAGGCGATCACTATAAGGCAGGTTTTCGAAACTTTTATTCATTCTTGTGGCTCTTCTCTGAACCCTCTCCAGTTTGTCAACATCCTTCTTGAATCATGGACAGCAGAACTGGACACAGGATTCCAGCAGCACTCACATCAGCACCAAACAGAGGTAAAATATGTTATCTAATCCTACTTGAGGTTACAGATGCTGAGGCCCAGGAAAAGGAAGTGTCTTGCCTAAGGGTCACACAGCAAGTCAGTGGCAAGAGCCTCTGTCTTGACTCCCAGTCCCCCTCCTCTAACCACTAGACTCCACTCCCTGTCCAGAGCTGGGAACACAATCACTTGCCCAGTAGTTCAAGAACTTTAACACTCAGAACCACCAAACTAACTGTGATTTCCTTCCGCACCTTGAATCCAGCAAGTCTTTGCAGGCAAAAAAAACCCCCCTGTGATCATGGCAAGGAACTATCAGTTTTAGCAGCCACCAGGTTTCCGCAAGGTGAACTTTTTCATGGTGGTGGGTAGATCGGACCATTACCCAGTAACCTTTATCTGTCTTAGGTAGATAGAGATCATATAGTCCCCAATACCATAGTACCGGAGAATGTCACCGTCTTTAATATATTTATCCTCAGCACATCCCTGGGAAGCAGGGGCGTGCTATTATCTTCATTTTACAGATGGCAAATTATGGCACACGGGCCCTGATCCTTAAAGGTGTTGAGGCATTTAACTCTCATTTAAATCAATAGGGGTTAGGCTCCTAAGTCCCAAGGTCACATGGGCTGTCTGGGGCAGAGCATGGATTTGAACCCACGTGTTCTGGACCGCCCACCTCTGCATGGCACTCCCATGCCTGAGAGGCACCACACTAGTCGGTACAGAAACAAAGGGGTCAGTAGGACACTGTGTGCCCATCTCATTGTTCCAGGAGCTGCACGTGGAAATCCCTGGGCGCCAGAGAGCAAGCACATCCCCTGGCGCCGGCCCTACGCGCACATCAAACAAGGTCATTATGCGGCACAAGTGGGATGTCACTGGTGCACGTGGGTGAGATAGAGAGACAGAATTAATAAAAATCTATCTTATTAACTGCCTGACCTCACCCCATCGATCCCATTCGAAATGGCAGGAACACACAAATCCCTTTGTGTTACAATAGAGAAAGGGCTCAGCTGAGCTCAAAAAGCCACCTAAATCCCTGGCGCAATAGTGACTCCTTTTTCAAAGAATGAAGCTCAATGGGGAAAAAAAAAAGAACTAATAATGCTTACAAAACTTACGCTAGGAAGAGAAAATTCCACATGGATTTGAGATTTTTTACTTGGTTAAGCTCATAATTCCATAAAACGAACACTATTTGTGGTTCCTCTAATACTTTTATTAAAAGTTTTGGTTTTTTCTTTTCTTTTTTTTAAGATCTGGAACAGTGGGGCATGTTAACTCTTTAGATGCCATGAAAAGCGAGAATGCAGAAATATTAGACAGATGGGGCTTGATTTTTTCACTGTCTTGACATGTGGTAGAATCATTTCCAAAGGGTGTGAAACAAAGGATGTCAAATGATACCAATCTAATCTGGTAGCATTTTGCACCAATTTTCTTTGCCATGCTGTCAGCTCTATACCAGTTCCATGCTTATGCTATGCCAGTTCCATACAGTGTTATCTACGCCAATTCCATGCGATGCCCATGCCGTTTCAGTCTCCTGAACTCTTATTTCACAGGTTACTAGCAATAGTAATGGCTTTGATTCTTAAATCCACTCATGATCCAAGCACAGAGGCAGAGGCTGGAGGAATGAAACTGAAGCCACCCGCCGAGCACGTGCTGTGACTGCTGCTTATCACACTGTTCGGAATTAGAGCTGAGCAAAAAATTTCCAGTTTGGTTGTCAAAATGAAAAGTCCAAAAAAATGTTCCTTTTAGATCAGCCTGAAATGACAATCTTTTGTTTTTTCTTGCTGCAATGTTAAACTGGGGAGAGGCGGGGGGAGATTTTCAGGTCGAATACAATGTTTCGACCTGAAAAAAAAAAAGTTTTATTTTTTTAAAACTTTTTTTTTGTTAAAGTTAAATCTAGCTAAATTTCCATACAAAATGTTATTTTAAAACAAAAAGTTGAAATGTTCCGTTTATACATTTTTGGAATCCCTCTCCCCTTTTTTCTGTGGCCAAAAATATTTGCTGAATTTGACTTAAATTTGCCAACGGTTTTAGTTGAGAATCTCAGCTATTCACCCGAAACTGCATTTTTCGGTGAATAAACTAGTTAGCAAAAAATAAATATAAATAAAAAAATTAAAAAATTCACCCAACTCTATTTGTAATTGCAGCCTTGCCCAGACACAGGGCAATAAATTAATAAATACTGGGGTCCTTTTATTTGCTGTCTGGTGGTGGAGCCTATAGTGTGTGCTATTTTTCTCCACAACTTCTTCTTTCTTGCCACTTCCCTATTTGAAGTCAGTGACTTTTGTAACTTTGTTCCAAAACTCATGATCATACATGAGGCTGTCATGAAGATCGGTCCCTCTGAGGTCTGCTGATATTTGGTCCATGTACCTAGTCTTTGGTCTCCCTCTTGTTCATCATCCATCCACAGTCACTACAAGAGCTCTCTGGTCTCTGCCAGATATGCCCATACCAATATAACCAAGCCTTCTTCAACTTGTCTTCAATTGGAGCAACCCATATTAGGCCCCTTACCACCTCAAGGGCTAGAAACTTACTTAAAAAAAAAAATACAAATGATAGTTGAGATTCTCACCTAATCACATTCCTCCAGGCGCTGGGGCTTTAAGAAACACACCAAATATTGCAAGACTCAAGATAAGACTCCATTCCACAGGCAGCTGCGGTTTTTCAACTCTGGAGTGGGCTCCTAGAAACAGCTATGTTTCTAGCCACCATGTTTTACATTGTCCCTCTTTCAGGATTTGTGTCACTTTGCATGGTCAAGCAATGAACTGGCCCATACTTGCTGTTTCCTAATCAATTTCAAAACCAATCACCCTGTTGCAATTTGAGGACTGATTAATAGATTTAGCCAGTGTGTTTGGTCTCAGCAACACCATGGTCATGAAGCCACTGGGTATCTCCTGTAAAAGCACCCGGTGTAACTTCACTGTGGTCACAAGCAATTTGTGACTTTTCTTTTGCATCATCTTACTTGCGATTATAACAACTTACTGCATTTCTATAGCTACTTTAATCACGCAGGCTCCCACAGTGCTTTACTAACTATGCATATAGCAGAATCACTTCATCGAGTACAGAAATGCAACCCCCTCTGGGGTGGAATGTGGTAACTGCTCACCAGTGCACAGCAACACTACGCAATAGTTTACATATTGCCTTGTCTCAGGACTGGCTCCAGGGTTTTTGCCGCCCCAAGCGGCGGGGGAAAAAAAAAAAGCCGCGATCGCAATTGCAATCGGTGGCACTCTGGCAGCAGGTGCTTCCCTGCTTGCTGGGCTGGTGCCTGGAGCTGGCCCTGCCTTGTCTACACTCTTTTTTTGTTTCCCCCTTACAATTTGCCATTATTGGGAGTGCCAACGTATACAAGACTTATCATTGTGTCATCTATACTTGCTCTGAGCTGGCTTAGAGGAAATGGTGCTTAAAATGTGAGAGACTTCCTGGAGCCATCTGCCCTAAGGCTCTCATCAATATTGCCACTCATGTAGCTGAACTAGCGGGAACAAAGGTGGGATATTTTGGGACCCTATCCCCAGGCAGGGGACAACCAGCTGAGTACTAACTCTGGGGGGGAAAAGCCATCTACTGAATCATCAATGCTACCTCCAGCAGCACAGTGTCTCCTAACTCTCTGCTGGGGGCACTAGGTCAGTAGTGACTTAGACTGGAAGCTGTATGGGGCAGGGACCATCATTTTGTTCTGTGTTTGTACAGCACCTAGCACAATGGGGGGTGGTGGTCCGTGATTGCGGATCTGAAGCGCTACCACAATACATGCATAATAACACTACCTACTGAATCACCAGCACTGGTGAGGTCTCCTCTCCTTACCTGGCAGATTCTTTCCACTCCATTTCTTCTCCATCGTGCTGCAGTGTGTCCATCTCAGTGAACAGGGTGGGGTTTGGAGGATCATCGTCTTCACCCAGGATGTAACGAAGGCGTTCAGCAGCTGGAGACACTAAAGCGAGGAGATAAAAAGAGTTCATTTAACCCTGGACAACTGTGGATGGTTCTCACACCAATCCGGCTTCGAAATTGCTCTAGGAACCTTGTGAGAATGAGCTTTCTGGTGAATATGTCCTGGTTACAGCCATGGAGTCACAGAGTTCAAGGTCAGAAGGAACCACCAGATCATACCTCACCTCCTGTATAGCACAGATCACCACCTGCACACCAAGCCCAACCACCAGAATAAGACCAAAGTACTACAGACTTCAGGAGGCTAAACCATTGAATGCCACAGGTAGAGAATACCAAAGGCAAGGAACTGATACTGAGATATACCTATCCGGGCAAGAAATATGAAGACTGCAGCTTTGCTTGTGATAATTTGGTCCTTTCAAACTCAGCCCCAGCCAGAACCAGGAACCAAAGCAAGAAAATGGAATTTGTTTCTCCAAAATGTTTTGTGGGTTTGAATTTTGGGTGGAGAGTCAGATCAGTTTAATCAAACCTGGCCGCCTGTTGGGGAAACAATCTTTGATTTCTCTTCCGTTTTGCTCATGCTGAAAAATCGACTTGGGAAGACCTCGCTGGGCATCTTGTGCTGTAGCGATTGCAGCAGGGTTCTTTGCTGCCAAGAGTGCAGTTGTAGCAGTCCATTCGGGCAGCCTGAGCAGCAGCCCCCTGGTTCTAGTTTTCTAGGAAAGACGCTACAAAGGCTAAAGGGGTAATTTTGATGGCAAACAAAAGTGATTCAGCATTTTTGGGGCAGCAAGATTAGTCACTCCTGACCCACAAAGCTTTGGACAAACAAAGGAGGGTGAGGGTGGAGGAGGGGACCAACAGGCGTATCTTAGATCCTGTAGTGAAAAGGACAGTTGGAGGACAATAAGCCGTTTGAGGAAACAACTCATTCAGAAACAAGAGGCCCATTGAGGAGCAGGGAAGACCGAGACAATAAAGCAATTCAGGCCAAGTTTCCTCAACAAAGAGGGCTTGAAATATAGAACAACTGGCAAATGTAATGAATGGAAGGTGCACACTCTCGATTTTGGTAATCAGTGGATACAACCACCAGCTAGATTCAGAGAATGAAATCCTGGCCCCATTTAAGTCAATGGGAATTTTGACATCGGTTACAGAAGGGCCAACATTTCACCCGTTGTATTTAAGGCCAGAAGGGACCATGATGTTAATCTAGTCTGCCCTCCTGCAAAACACAGGCCAGAGAATTTCATTTCCTGCACCACGCACGTATTTGTGGTTGAGCTAGAGCATATATTTTTTTCTGAAAGGGACATCCAATTTTGTTTAAAGACATCAAGTGATGGAGAATCTACCATGTTCCCCAGGGAAGTTGTTCCAATGGTGAATTGCCACACCGTTAAAAATCTGTGCTTTATTTCTAACTTGAATGTATCTGGCTCCAGCTTCCAGCCATTGGATCGTGTCCTGCCTTTACCTGTTAGATTAAAGATCCCTCAGCTATCCCCAGGTAAGTATTTATGGACTGAGCTTCTTAACTCTTTGGACCCGCTGGGGAAGAAACGTGACACGACATGGTGACACTCTTTGTGTTTTCTTTAGGTTCTAGTGGGCAGGGTCCTGGATCAGGAAGGTTCCACCATTTCAGTGAGATATTTTGGCTTTGTGGCAGTGCATGGCTCAGGGGACTGGTAAGTAGATACAGAACATTTAACTTCCAAGTCACCAGCTAGAATCCAGTCCAGGTTGGGGAGTGACTGATAATTATAATATAAATATATGGAGCTACACCTATTTCATAGAACTGGAAAGGACCCCGAAAGGTCATTGAGTCCAGCCCCCTGCCTTCACTAACAGGACCAAGTACTGATTTTGCCCCAAAGCCCTAAGTGGCCCCCTCAAGGACTGAGCTCACAACCCTGGGTTTGGCAGGCCAATGCTCAAACCACTGAGCTATCCCTCCCCCACCTGATGCCTGGTGCTTGGTGGCCTACGTGAAATGAGTTTGGTGCAGCCCAATCCCAGTGCACAAGTGTCCATATAATAAGAAATACTAGCACAATTGCCTTTTCCATCACATCACGCTGGTGGCTTCAGTGGAGAAGCCAAGGCTTGTATAGGTTACGGAGATTGAACCGTCCCACCTCCACCTCAGGGAGGGATGTTGAGAAGCTTGCTTTGTGCTGTGCCTGCTGCAGTTAAACATAGGACTTCAGTGTCCAGAGCTGTCAAGCCAGCACCTTCTACCAGCAATACAGCCCTGTAAGAAACAAGAAACCCTGGTCTCTAGCACAGGGGGAAATTTTGTTGCCCCCTTTTCTATGCTTTGTTTTCCTCCGGACATTGAGCTGAAACATGAGATCGTTGCTCAGACAAGACTTCCATTGATGTCATTGGGAGTTTTGCCTGAGTGGGAGCTGTACAAATTAGCCCAACGTTTCGGTTTTAGAAATTATATTTTTTTCCCTGCTGTGATATGTGAGTGGGTGGAGGTTACCCATTCACCCGTCTTTCAGCCATCAAATTCAAATCTGTTTCAGGGCTCTCTCTTTCTATTCATCTATTCTGGGATTTTCTCCCCCTCTGTCCCTCCTTCTCAACATTTTCTGTTTCTCTATCTCAGAAAGAAAGTGAAATTCTGAGATAAAGAGAGAGGGAGAGAGTTTCTTAGAGTTTTGCGCTCTCTCTCGGTCTCAGAGTTTCCCTTTCTTGCTTTCTTTATGGCTCAAGCCTCCGGAGCAAAGCCTAATGCTCCTGTCATAACAAATTAACTTTGTTTCCCGCTAAGTGTTGAGGGGAGAAAAGAACAGTCGAGACAAGCTCCGCTATTGAGCGGCTGCGTCAGAGTAAGCTTAGGCCTGTGGCTGTGGTATGTCACCCAGGGATGCGGACAGAAGTTTCAGCAGCACAGGACATTTTTAATTACCGAGAGAGCCGGTTCATTCCCTTTGAATTGTTCCGCCTGAGTGACTCTAATGCATTCCCTGTAGCCGTGTGAGGGGGGCAGGGAGGGGGAGAGCACACACTTGCCCTCCTGACTGCTTGCTCCATCGCTGAGCGAGTTTGGTGGATTTTCTCTTAAATCTCTGTGTTCACATGTTTTTAGATCTCTTGGCAGCATGCAAGGCGGCTGGCAACAGCCAGCGCAATGCTAACCCACTGCTGATGTGTGTGAGGTTAAGAATAAACGCTTCTTTAGCCAGGCTAGGAGAGACAAGGCCTAGTGGTCTGAATACTGGGCTAGAAGCCATGAACTCCTCAGTTCTAATGGCATCTCTTACCTACAGAGACAGCATTTCTTAGAGTCTAAGGACAGATAATGATAATCTATTATTATGATATCATTATTCCATGCAACACAGCCCAGGGAATTTCACGCAGTGATTCCTGAAATGGATGGGGGTTATCCATTCCCCTGGTGTAAGAGAACGCTACTGAGTTCTACTCCAAGATTTGTATCAACGGAGCGCCTAGGAATCCTCATCATGGACCAGGACCCCATTGTGCTAGGTGCTGTACAAACCCAGAACAAAAAGCTGATGGTCTAATTATAATACAAGACACTACATAAGGAGATGAACAGGCAGGGGAGTTCAGGGAAAAGTCAAGACTATATTGGCAGTCTTCTTGAAAGGTATCCAGTCATGATTTAAAGACTCCTAATGATGATGAATTAACTATTATTTTGAGTGTCTCCATGAAAATGGGAGTAGTGCTCACCCAGAGTTACTGTGGGTATTTTGAAAATAGAAGGCCCTAGAGATGTGCGTGATAGAGAGGCAGGGTAATCCAGGGCTTAGGGCACTGGAGTAGGTCCTGTCTCCGCCATTAACTCACTGGGTGATCTTGAGCAAGTCACTTTCCCGACCTGGGAAATGGGGAGAACAATCCTGCTTTTTGGTAAGGAGCTTAGATGGAAAGCACTGAGTGATAAATAAGAATATGCATGATTAATAGTACCCAATTAAATAGCCTCTCCTGCCCCATTCTGAAAAGCAGCCATCACTACAATAATTCAGATGAATTCTAACTGCATCTGCATGCTGCTGTCCTTACACAAAAGTTTGGGGAGTTAGAAAAGTATCAGTTTTTATAAAAGTGCCATGTTCTCCACTATAGCATCATTACACCAAAAGTGATTCACAAACTTCCCCACGCAACATAACTAGGAATCATTCGTTCCCTACTGAATGGTGTGAAACATGACAACTGTTTAACAGAACCTAGCTACATCACATGACAACTTAAGACAGGAAGCTAAGAATCTATAGGTGCTCCCAACGAGTATCTGTTGTGGCTGCTGCGGGAACTTTTGCCATGTTAAATTCCAGCTGAAATAAAGCTGCTCCTTCTTTGAATGGCATTTCAGAGGGACCATTCTGACCCTCTAGTCTTACCTCCTACACAGCACAGGCCACAGAATTTCACTCCGTGATCCTTGCATTAAGCCCATAACTTTGGTTTTGGGACTCAGCTTTGACTGTCACAACACGCATTCCCTCTCCCCGTACCCCAGCATACATTTGAGTGGAAAATGCCAGCATTCTCTGGCCTCGTCTATGCTAGAAGCATTTTTTGTTAATGGATGGGATTTTCAAGTGACTAAGGTAGTCAAGCACTTAACTGCCTCAGATGCTTTTGCAAGCAGTGTGGTTAGAGCGCTGGACTGGGAGTCAGGACACTTGAGTTCTATTCCTGGCTCTGCCGTTCAGCAAGTCACTTCCCCACTCTGTGCCTCAGTTTCTCCCATCTGTGAAACGGGGATAATGATACTGTCCTTTGTAAAGAGCTTTGAGATCTACTGATGAAAAGTGCTGGGTATTACTATTTCTCCTACTGTGCTAACACCAGCTAAATTCCACTGGTGGTAGCAACAGTGGGAGCACAGATATTGACAAGGCTGTTTTTTCTAACTCCGCTCAGAGCAGATCTAGACAACATGGCGATAAAACCACCGATGGCTGGTTTATGCTAGGTTTCCCACCGGCGATACCAGTGTAGGGGAACTGGTGCAAGAATCATAGTGGGAGA